ATCTTTGCTGGGTCCATCAATTTCTGGTCTATTTCTTACTCCGTCCTCGAAAAGAAGCGATTTTTTAGAACAATTCGAAGAATAATCGAACCATAGAAAATTGGGGGTTTCGCAAAGGGTTCCAATGGAGTGATGGCTTTCACAGCTAAAATTTTGGTCAACTTACGGCTAACGATTATTATCTCTCCATTAAGGTCACCAGAAAAATTTTACGGTAGATTTTTTCTTATGACTAACGGTTGAATTTGAAAGTTTTTACGCTTCACGGCTAAATTGGAAAAGGTCCGGCTAACGCTTAACTCCGTTGAGACCTTTTGCGATCAGCTTTTCATCTATCATCTGCAAATTTACTTAATTTATTCGGTTTTGTAAGGTGGGTTTGTTCGAACAGCATATCGGTCAAAAAGTAGACGAAGCCACTTAGAGTTATTATTTCGAGCGACTTCAGTCTGAGTGTGATCGCCTTCGCTTGAAATTCTTGATATGTTCCCGCTGATGTATAGCGAATACAAACAAATATTTTTCTTGTCACTAAAAGGGCCTTGCTATAATCTGAGTAAAGTCACGGTTACGATTTGAACTTCTTTAGATTTAAAAAAACATTGATTTTTCAGTCTAGGTCTTCCAACAGGAGTTTAGGCGTCAGGTGGGTTTTGGATTTTGCCATTTGTCAACAGAATGTTGAATTAGAGGACTCAAGTCGCACTAAGATATTCTCGAGTGGAAAAAAAGGATGACATCAAGATCTCCGCTTGCAATAACAGTTCTTCCATGATCTATTCCTTTTCTTTTAATTAGTTTTCTTTTTGATGCGTTTGTAAGTCGTTGGTGTCAGCTTACCTTTGTTGCTGTTCTGAGATGTCTAAAAACGAGCTTTCATCTTCGTATACTTGCTTCAGTTGTAGAAAAATTCTTCAGGGGCTGTCAAAAGACAAATTGAATTGTAGCGTAGATTAATCTGCTATCATAGGACATCAATTAGCAGGAAATTGATCCGGATTTTTTCATGAAGAGCTCTACATACTATCACAGCTCATTATTTTATTGCACCATAATAGGGACAATAATCTTAACACAAACAGATTGCAAGCGTTGTCTGTGCTATTATTTGTAGGCAATACCTATGTCAAAAATATACGAAAGTGCAGGGAACCAATTACGGATTTTGAATGGGTCTTTGTGATATTAAAGAATATCATGGAGCAGGTGATTACATTGAAACAAACAGCGACAAACTTCTTTAATTTCCTCATTATCTTGGTGTTAAATTGTGAATAACATATGATGAAGGAAGCCCAACAATAAAAGGCCCTGTAGTTTGTCATTGGATTCCTCGTCACCTTTTTTCTCATCAATGTCATGATTCAATTCGCATTGGCAGAACAGACTTTTGCTTAAGTTGCTGGATATCTCGCAATTCCAACTCTATGTCTTGTTGAAAAGAGTGTTTTTGGCGTATGCTTATACATGTGATTCGTTTTTTCTTTCAGCTTTTCACCTGAAAGATTAGAGAGGATTAAACTGGGAAAATCGCCTTTCAAATGAATTCAGGTGCTTTATGAAAAT